TGAGAACCTAAGTTTGCTCCTCAGAACACACGTAAAAAAGTTAAACTTGGTGGTACTCCCATCCCCACCCCCCAAGAAGAAAGTGGATCTCAGGTCTTGCTGACCAGTTCCGTGAGAATCTGTCTCAGAAAGTCTGTTCTGACTTCCACACATATGTGTGGCCTGTGTGCCCTCCCTCCTTCCTCAACATCACATACATACACACATAAGATGAAGTGATTGAGGAAGAAACGGTCTGTTTTACACACCCCCACACACAAAGACTTCATAGACACTTAAACTAGGACATTTTGACTTAATTCTAAATTATCTTCATTAGCTTAAACAGGTTAAGGGTTATGATAAGAGATAAAACAAAGATAGTTATGCTAAGGGGTTGTAAGGAGAGGAACGTGTTAGAATTAGATTTATGGGTAAGAGAAGGGTAAGGTGTATGGGTTAAGGTTATGGGCCTGGATGGTAGATGAATTGGTCAGCCTGGTAGGTCTCCCTTATCTGCACCACCAGGGCCAGCTCTCCAGCACTGTTCCTGATAGGCCACCCAATGTCACCATCAGCAGGAAGCAGGATCAGCTCTCCTGATCTCAGGCCCTCAAGGCCAGCTCACCCACACCCATGCCTTCAGAGCCAGCTCCACTGTGCTGCCCAGTCATGGTGTTGGGCCCACACTTGTGTTATAAAGAAATGAAAGTCTGAAATCATTTGGATTTACCAATGAAGACTCAGGAGCCAGATGCCTGGGTAAAAACCTGATAGCTCAGAGAGGCAGCGAAAGCACCCAGCTGACCTTCCTACCCAGCTCACATCCCAGAAAGAAAAAACCAAAAGCCTGCTATCCCAGCTGATGGACCAGGAGGAAAAGGCCTCCTAGATCACCCAACAGCCCAGAAGGAAAAAATAAATAAAATAAAAATAAAAATAAAGCTAAAAGCCAGAGAGTCCAAAAGTCAGAGAGCTAAAGAGCCAAAAGCTAAAGGCCAAGGAGCTAAGGAGTTCCTTCTTTTTCTCCACGCTGACTTTTTTTTTCTGTTGTTATTATCATCCATTTATTACAATTTATTCCATTTGTATCCCGACTGTGACCCCCCCCCCTCGTCTCCTCCCAATCCCTCTCTCCTTCCCTCTTCTCTCCTTATGGGCCCCCTAGTCCACTGATAGGGGAGGTCCTCCTTCCCTTTCATCTGACCCTAGTCTATCAGGTCTCATCAGGATTGGCTGCATTGTCTTCCTCCATAGCCTGGGAAGGCTGCACCCACTGGGGGAGGTGATCAAAGAGCCAGCCACCGAGTTCATGCCAGGGGCAGCCCCTGCTCCCTTACTAGGATACCCACTTGGACACTGAGCCTAAGGGCTACATCTGAGCAGGGGTTTTAGAACCTCTCCATGCATGGTCCTTGGTTGGGGTATCAGTCTCTGCAGGGTTCCCAGGGCCCAGAGGTGTTTTGTTTTGTTTTGTTTTGTTTGTTTTGTTTTGTTTTTGTTTTTGTTTTTTTTTTTTTTTTTTTTTTGTTTTTTTTTTTTTTTGGCCCTGTTGGTCTCCTCTTGGAGCTTCTGTCCCAAGATCTTTCTATCTCCCCCTTCTTTCATAAAATTCCATGCACTCTTCCCAAAGTCTGGCTATGAGTCTCAGCCTCTGATTTGATACCTCCATCAGTAGTCCTTCAGAGGCCATCTGTGGTAGGCTCCTGTCCTGTTCCCTGTCTTCTGCTTCCGTTGCCACTCTGTCTTAAATACCTCTCTCAAAGTCCCTCCTAACTACTTAATCCTTATCAGCTGGTTTCTTGCTCCACCTCTTGACCTAGAGTTAACTTTATTTAAACCTGTGTACAGAAAGCTCTTGGATTAAAGGTGTGTGCAAGGGCTGAGCCACACCATAATCACCTGTTTACAATAAACAGAAAGTCCCCGGATTAAAGGTGTTAGGGCTGAACCACACCAAACAAGAGACACATTTTTACAGTTCATATATCAGGATTCAAATGGGATCAAATATCCTGCAACACACTCTCCCAGGTGCTGCAGCTTGTGAGGGCCTGGGCAAGCTCTCCCACTCTCACACCCTCAGGGCTGGTTCACACGTACCTTTGCCGTCAGGGACAGCTCCACTGTGTTGTCCGGGCGACGTGCAGGGCCCACTCTCCTGAGTACTACAGCCAGTGAGGGGGCAGGGCTAACTCTTTTGCTCTCATGACTCCAAGACCAGCTGCTCTCCCAGCTACTGCAGGTAGTGAGGCGGTAGGCAGTAGCAGAGCTGACCCCACACCCACACCACCTCTTGGCAGACAAGTGGCCGGGTCAGCTCTCCTGCACTCTCACCCTTGAGGCAGGCTCACCTGCATCGCCTCCACTGGCGTCAGCTGTGCTGTGCTGTCCAGGTGAGGTACAGAGCCTACTCTCATGTAAGGCAGCAGCTAGTGAAAGCAGAGACAGCTCTCTGGAGCACATGACCCCAGGGACAGCTCTCCGAGGGAGGTGTCACTCCTTGGCAGATGAGTGGCAGGGCCAGCTCTCCTACACTCATGCCCTTGAGGCTGACTACCCACACTCCCATTGTTACCAGGGCCAGCTCTACTGTGCTGCCTGGTTGAGGTACAGAGCCCTCTCTCCCAAGTGCTGCTGACTGTGAGAGGTGGGGCCAGCTCTCCAGCGTGCCACAGCCAGTGAGGGACGGGGCCAATTATGTACATCCCCTGGACGGCCATGTGTTGAACATTGCCATGTTCTCTAGTGGTAATATGAGCCATGAACATTGACAGGGACCCCTGCTGCTGTGTAGTCATGAACTCAGACATGGCGGGGGGGAGGGGACAGCTCAGGCTGGTGCCTAGATGGCCCTAGATGGCAGGGTTCACCACTCACAGCAGGCTACTCCTCTCCACCCTCAACTCTTCCGTTCCACCTCTCTTCATAACGCTCAAGCTGCTCCACTTCTCTTTCTCTCCCATCCGACCACCACACACTCACACACTGCAGTGACTCCCTCTGCAGGCCGGCCACAAGGTTGCCAGGCCCCTGGGGACAGCTTTCATGCCTGCTGAGCAGTATGGTGGCAAGCTGGTATCTGTGGCCCACCTGTGTCATGCGCTGGGGGGCAAGTCTGTGAGCGGCATGGTGGTCCACATGGTGGTCTCTTCCTCCTCCCATGCTGTGCTGCCTGGGTTTGATTTGATTTGATTTGATTTGATTTGATTTGATTTTTATGAGTCCAAGGCATAGGACAGCTTTGGCCACCAAGCCAGGTATCAAACTAGGATGAACAGAGGATTGCCATCTTCTCTGCCCCTGACTGATATAAGAACAAAACCACCAACAAGGTGTCTCTTTGCCCAATGCTGGAGGGGCAAGGGAGTCTTTCAGAATTCTTAACATGAATGTAGGTGGTGCCGCCATTTAGTTAATAAAATTGGAGTTAACGATGAATGCAACCGGCTGCTAGCCTGACAGTAAAAGTAGCACAAAATGATAAAAGTATGTTTAGAGGAATCCCAAGCCAAGTTTATTTAGTCTTTTTTTTTTTAATGAAACGCAACTCAACAACTCAGAACACCAATTTCTAAAACCAAATATTTTAACATGATATAATCCAAAGATATACTAACTTGATACAAGACAATTGAAATGGTGGTAGGAAAATAGTGGGAACCTTTGTTTCCTGAAGTTAAGCCATATCTTATATGTACAGGAAACCACTGCAAACCACAGCACAATAGCTTTGAACCTGGGCTATTTCAGGCAGTATTCTTGACTTTAGGTGGCAGTGGAACATTAGTCTGTTGTGTTTAGAAGTAAAGCTGCAGGGAAGCCACAAGAGATCACAAAGGGAAAGCTCCCAGAAACATCACGGATACATCACATTTTTTTTAAATTTTTAAATCATTTTTGATCATTGATGTTAGGTCTCAAACCTGGGACAAATGGCCAATTTAACAAATCAGCGCAGACCTGGGTTCTCCCAGCATCCCTCAGTCCCTATCTGTCACGGTGTACAGCTGGTATACCCTGCCCCCAACTCTAAACTTCTCCAGCCCAAGGGCTGGGCTGCTCTTCCCCAAATTGTCCTTCCCTATATAACGTAGCCATTTTGGTTAGCCAGCCCTTTTGTCTAGCCCTTACTCTGCTGATGTCCTGGCTGTCCTCTCTCCCCTCATTCCTCTCCTCATATGGCCAGGCTTAGGGTCGTATTCATTCCGGACTTCCCCAGATATCCCTGCCTCTGGCAATGTTCTCCCTTCTATCCACAAAAACCTTTTCCATGGCTACCCAGGAGTAGCCATGTCCTTCCTTTTGATTTCTTTTTTTTCCCCCCTCTCTATTCAATTGCACGTTCAGAGACTTTATACAGTTACCAATTTTTTTTTCCCACAACCCACACCTTCCTACAACCGCCTAAACAGAATACAGCGACAGGCCACAGATTAAGAAGTCGAGAAACTTGCTTAGATTTATCCTATCGGGTTATCACGAGCTGCAGTAACCTGTTGCTGGGCAGAGGGCTCTCCAACCTGGGGATCCCACTCCCATCCCAGGCCAGCAGCCCAGCACCCCCACTCAGTCACCCTGGGAGTCTGTGGAACAGACAGACAGGCACCGCGCTAGCCAGCCCGCGCTCCGGTGGGGTCCTTCGGGCCACTGCAGGACAGCCCAGCTCGAGGTCCTGGTGCGGTCGCGTAGCAGCGGCAGAGACGCGGCCAAGCCGCTACGGGAGTGCGGTCGCCTGTAAGAGGGTAAACCGGCTGCCTCGGCGGTCCAGGGGCTCTGGTGGGCGAGCGCATCCGCGTGTGCCGGGTCTCCCCAAGCCGAAGCTGAAGTGAGGACAAAGTGCCTGGGGAGCCCGCCCGAGAGTTGGGGCGGAGGGAAGGCGCAGACCGGGCCGAGACCAGACCGCAGATCGCTCGTCCTTACGGGAGAGAGTGGTTAGGCCTGATGGGCACCCAAAAACGTTTGTCGCAGGAAAGACCATGAGCACAGTGACAGTCACTGAGGGATTCCACCGTGAGTCGATTAGACGGGGTTTGGCTTTCGAGCGGATCACTTCTTGTGCAGGATGCTTACCTGCAGTCACTGCTGGAGCTTGAGTTCCTGTGTGTGCCCGGGCCCGGGCTGGGTAGAAATACACTAGTGCAAGCACGGGACCCTGTTGCTGTTTTTTGTGCCAGGCTAGTGTCCACACATCTGTCATAGCCCTCACTGCAGCCGATTGAGCCCGTTTCAGTGTCTGCTTATGGTTCATGTTCAGTGAGTGTGAGTTCCTGCTTCTGCGCCAGAGTGTAATTGCTGTGCACCCAGCTAGCGACGAGTCTGGGCTGTTGTACATTCTTAGCAGTGTTTTGCCGAGGTGTAGTTGGGTATGAAAGGAGTGGACCAGGCTAGAAGTAATGTAACACACCGGTGTTGACACTGGATAGCGATGTCTTGTACTTGTGAAAATAAGTGTGCACAGAACCAAAGTACTGTTTATGTTTAACATGTAACGTTCCTGTAGGACCAAGTCTCCTATTTACAGACCTGATGAAAACTTAAACATCTGAGTTCAGGCAGTGAAGGACAAAAATCCGGGTGTAGGAACGGTTTGTATCGTCTACATTCAGGAAGCGTACCAGAGCAGCAGATCTCAACCTGCAGTTACAGGGACCACCTAAGACCATGGGAGAACACAGATATTTACATGACGATTCATAATAGTAGCAAAATTACAGTTTCAAAATAGCAACAAAACACGGTGTTAAAGTGTCACAGCATTAGGAAGATTGAGAACCACTGTAATAGAGGTTTTAAAATAACGCAGGAACGTTTTGAGGAATACCAAGGTGAAGGGAGCATGAGGCAGCTGCTGATGGCAACAAGGTGGTTAGGAATATGGGTCAGGCATCATAGGTTATATGATCAGCGTCAGCTTGTTTTTACCAAATATCAGACCTACCGTGTGACTTAGGCACTATTTGTTGTTTGTTTGTTTCTTTGTGTTTTACAGGTAAGAAAACTTGTATGTTGGACCTGTGACTCTATCGGGGAAGGTAGGAGGAAGGGTGTAGCCTGAGCACATCTGCAGTAGAAACTGGCAGGAAAATCTAGAGACAAAGGATACAGCCCTAAGGCTCAGCAGCTGGTGGTCAGGTTGTCAGGATGTGTGTCCGAGGGTCGTCTCTCATCAGCTGTTCAGGAAAAAGAAGAAAGTAGGTTTAGTTGAGGGGAGTTCTGGTCTCTAACAGTGGTCTCTTGTTGACTTTTCCAGAGTGACAAGACCCCAAGGCCAGCTCTTGTCTACGTCCGGGAGCTAATGGCAGGGGACAGAGCCAAGCATTATGAGCTGGACCAAGAGAAATATGATGCTCATGACAACGTGAAGATCATCTGCCTGGGGGACAGTGCAGTGGGCAAGTCCAAGTATGTTGGAACATTAGGGAAGAAAAACCAACCCTAGAATGGCTCTGGGTTGGTTAGAAGAGAGGAATGTATGTACTTTCTATGAGCTTGTGAGGGGGGGAGCCTTGATGGAGCCCAGCTGTGCAAAGGCGAACAACAGGATCGTATCCATAACTACATCCAGGAGGAAATGGGGGAGAGTCGAAGAGTTAGAAACCAGGGAGCTTTCTGGGTCCTTAAACTGTAGACTGGCTCGCCCGGGATATTACTGGAAGAGTAGAGTACAGAAGCAGAACGTGTGATAGCGCACACATCTGAGGGTTGAGGGGTTGCTAGAGTGGAGCAGTGGGAATGGAGAGGGAAACATGATAGGTAGAAGGTCAGTAAAGATGCTTTCTGGGAGGGACTGCCTGCCGCTGAGAAGCATAGCTAGCAATGATAGCTGGCTGTGATGATGTTAAAGACTGGCTTGTTCTTCCGACTTCAGTGCCTGCCTGTGCAGGAGTAGAGCTCTCCACCTGGAGGAGTGAAGGAAGGCTCTGCGGGCCTCCCTCAGGCATCCTACCTCTCACCCATTCAGGGTGAGATGGTGAGTGTGCCTGCCCATTTCTGCCTTCAAAGGATGAGGGTAGAGTTGTTCCTACCTAGATGTCTGGTTTCGTCTTCCATCCCTTGAGTTCCCAGACCACCTTCAGACTCAGATGGCGATGAGTAGTTCTAGAGGTCTTGCCAGTTTTAGGCCAGCTTCAATCCTCTACCTAACATTGATGCTCACCTGCAGTACTCTATAGTTGCTCTAACCTCAGCTGTATCCCATGGAACTAAAGTAAGGCTTTGGAAGCTTGCCCAGTAAATATCAGCCCCTTGTCCACACTTGAATTTAGAACTGTCACAGAGAACAGAAGTGTCAGGCAGAGGGGACCAGTTGTTGGCTTACTAACTGATAGACCTTTAGGGAAATGTGGACTGGAGAGAAGGCCGAGGAAGGCCTACTGTGTCAGCACTAACCTAGCTTAATGCAATTCCAAAATCAAAAAAAAAAAAAAAATCTAAGTTGTTAACAGAACGTCAAAAGACTAACGCAGTTCTAGCCCCTAGGACATTTTGAAGACAGGTAGTTCCCAGCCCCTTTCATACCTCAGGCAGAATGTTAGAGAGAGAGAGAGAGAGAGAGAGAGAGAGAGAGAGAGACCATGATAGAATCTGTGTCTAGGGGAAGGTTGGTAGTGAGAAAACTTTATTTCGGTTTCAGTGGGACTCAAGAATTCTCTGCCAGTTTTCAGTACATGTAGGCCCAGAGGCCCCTCTTCCAGGTGATGCTGGACCGCATTGTATTGACATTTAAAATTAACCACCTTAGGAGTATTAAAAAAAACTGTTTTAATTTAAAACTTATGTATAGTGTGTGTGTGTGTGTGTGTGTGTGTGTGTGTGTGTGTGTGCGCGCGCGTGTGTGCGCGTGTGTGCACGCGCGCACGCATACACATAATGATTGTTATGTCTTTCAGGGAGGTGCAAGGTTTGTTGTTTTGTTTTTGTGTAGATTTGCTGTATGGACTGATTACCAATCAGTGGTTATAATAGCAAGAAAAGGTTTCAAGGCTGCCCCATGGCTCCAGAATATGTACTATATTAAGCTTATTATGTGTTCAGATACTGCAGGCACCAGTCACTGCCTTTGACATAGGAAGGTAGAAGTAGACTAAAGGTTTGCAAACTGCAGGTGCCGCATAGTCTGTTCTGATTGATAGAGTCACTAAAGCAAATTAACTGATGTTCCTGTGGGGACTGTGCAAAGGAGAGAGGGATGGACGAGTGCAGGCTGAGTGGAACTTCTTGCCTATTTCAGTCACCTTCCCGCTCAGATTGCATTTGAGCAAAGCCCTAAGCAATGGCAGAGCCTTGAAAAATGACTATTGGATGAAGAATACGGTTTTCTGGGCCTCCGTTTCCCATGCATCGACAGGGGTATTCTGTGTAGCAGTGTGTGAGATGGAAATAATGGCTCGAAGAGCCCCGTGCAGATTGGCCCTTAGAATGACCAATAGTTTGGCTCTGTGGGCTTGGTAATAGTGATTCCCATTATACAGGCTCAACTAGAAGCTGTGTGACAAAGTTCAAAGGAGGTAGGAAGCCTCAAGTAGCTTCCAAGTTGTCAGCCAAGTAGTGATAAAGTAGGGACAAGAAGATAGAGATGCTACATGATCTGTGACCCGTACATTTCCCTTACAGACTCGTGGAGAGGTTTCTCATGGACGGATTGTATCCTTAAAGGTTTGAAATGTCCTTTGTTCCTGTGGCTTTTCCCACTCTCGTGCATCCTAACTTCCAGTCCACAACTTTATCCCAGCAGCCCAGGGAAGTCCAGTGGGTTTCCTTCACACTGGCTCCTCCAGGCTGTTGCTGCCGGAGCTGACTTACATGTGGACTTCCATGAGGAAGAACAGCAGGCAGCAGGCAGCAGGCATCAGTGCCGGATGCAAACCGTGCCTCCTCCGTAGTAGCTCTGACCTTGGGTAAATCATTCAACCTCTTTCCTCGGAGCCTCAAAAGTCCTCAGTAGGAATCAGCTTTATGAATTTATGAATTGTGGGGTATTTGCTTTTCCCTCGTCCCGTGAGCTGTTGTGTTGTACAGATTTGGACCTAGAACTGAAAGCTCCTTTAAAAGTTCCCCAATGGACCCCCGAGGGCTGCATGTGAGAACTGCAGAGCCTGATACATTCTCCCTTGACCTTAGCCCCAAAGACTGATGTCACTCACTCAGTCCCAAGGCCCACGTGTATTGTTTCAGCTTTGTTACATTGTCCAGCATATTTCAGCTTCGTGAGATGCTGTTCCCCAGGTATCTGGTAGTGTATCACACACAAATGAACTTCAGTTTATGAATACCTGGCTGCCTGGCCTTTGGGTGGTTTTTACCATAGGACTCTGTCCACGAAAGACTTAAAGTACCCACAGTTACATTTTCCAGCATCATGACACCACTTCTCTGTAAAATCTTGCCCCATGTTACCTCACATTTAGGTATCCAGGACCTTCTCCCAGCCCCTTCCTTAGACTTTGTGCCACTGAAGCTGCCTCTGTCTATAGAATTCATTCAACTTGGAGTCTTCTTTATAAAGAGGACAGAGTCAGGAGGATATCCACAAGTTGGAGGCCACCCCGAGCTTTATTGGAAAACCCGTCTCAACAAAAAGGATCAGGCATGGTGGCGCCTACCTCTAACCCCAGCACCTAGGGAGGCAGGCAGATCTCTGTGAATTTGAGGCCAGCCTGGTCTACATGGTGCGTTCCGGGCCAGCCAGGGCTACACAGTAAGACCTGTCTCTAAAAATTAAGAAAAACTAAGGAGGGGCCTCATTCTATCACACAGACACCCCCTTTCCCGTTTCCTTACGTCTTCTTATTCACCGTTGCTCCTTAACCTGCATCCAGTCAGCCACAGCAACTGTCCACATATGCTCTGACTCTGTATAAGCACAAGGCCACAGTAGACGGCAAGACCATCCTTGTGGGTGAGCAGATGGGCCCAGGCCTTGCTGAGCGGGGGAGGGGTGTTAGGAAAGGAGGTTCAGGAGAGGGTGAAGAAAAAAAGGGAAGTCAGGGAGCATAAAAGGAGGCACACGGGGACATACAGTGTTATAGCACCCAGGCCAGGACTAGTGTGCAGAACAGGATTTACAAACTCAAACACTGCAGAACTGTTCCTGCCAGAGGGAAAAGGAGCACAAAGGCCTTTGATGGGGAGGAAACTTTCCTCATTGCAGGGATTAACATTCAGCTAGTATAAATGAAGCCTGTAGCCTACTCAAATGTAGGACATGACCTTCCCATGCGGTCACTAGGCCATATATCCTGACTGTCCACCATCTGTTGAGATTTAGATCTTGAAGGGCCCCATCTTCAGTGTGGGGACAAGGAGCACTTACAGTCCCCTTCTGGGACTCCCTGTCTGCAGTGTCCTTCCTTCTGGTCCTGCGTCTTCCTACACATACCATTGCATACATGTCTCACAATACATGCATGTTTCTGCATGGAAATGCTTGGAGGGACATGGGGGAGTCTCTCCGCCCTCTAATCCCCCTTCCCCTGACCCCATGAGCAGACAGAGCTGTGTTCATGTTGCAGACTTCTGGGATACAGCAGGCCAGGAGCGGTTCCAGAGCATGCATGCCTCCTACTACCACAAGGCTCACGCCTGCATCATGGTATGAAACCAGCTGGGTGGGAGAAAAAAAAAAGAAAGGAAAAAAAAAACTGGCACTGGACAATTCTAGCCTGGGGGGGTTAAGGAGACAAGGGGCTCATCAGTCCTCAGCCCCACTACCAAATATAGATGTTCAGGAAAGAGTTCAAGGCTACCCAGATGCTTCACCCCAGAGCTCCTAAAGAAGAGCACGCAGAGGAGCTGCTCCGAGATTCGGGCAGAGAGGCTGGGCCCCACAGCCATTGTAGTATTGAAGGAAAACATGGCTGACTAGTCTACAGCTGCTTCCTGATGGAACACACCCACAGTGAAACGTCAGGAGTATCCTCAGCTCTTACTCACGGCTTCTGAAAGACCTTTAACTCTCAGACCAGCCCTCACCTCCCTCCCAGTGCTACCTAGGGTAGCTACCATGGGTCCACCAGTAATGGCTTCATTCATAGACTGCACAAAAGTCAGGGTGTATACAGCTCGACTGAGATCGTGAAAATCTGTCTCCTGGGAGTTCCTGCCTCTTGAGCTCCAAGGCTCATTTTCTAGGCCACCATTCTTTTTAAATGTGAATTGGTGTTTCACCTGCATGTGTGTCTGGGTGAGGCTGCTGTTCGATTTTGGAGTTACAGACAGTTGTGAGCTGCCATGTGGGTGCTAGGAATTGAACCCAAGTAGTCTGGAAGAGCACTCAGTACTCCCAACCACTGAGCCATCTCTCCAGTCCTAGGCCACCACTCGTACGTGCTGAGAAGGAATTTGTTTTTTTCTTTTCATTCACAGATAAAACATTTTCATGACTACCAAGCATCTATGACACGAGTCAATAGGCTGATTTGAAGTTTGGTTTGGATTGGGTCTGCTACTAGGGAATAAACCCAGAACTTTGTGCATTCTTAATATGTATTCTATCACTGAGCGGAGTCCTAGTCCAGTAGTCTAGTTCTCTGAATGATGAACCCTAGGGATCGTCACGCAGAAAGAACACTTTGTCAGTTAGAGTTGACATGGACTCTCTCACAGAATGGCAACTCAAGACTGAATGCCTAAAGAGAGCCAGATAGAGGCTGAATTTGGTGACAGCTCTGTGAGTCACTCAAGCCCTATTCACAAAGGAAAGAAACAGGTGCTGCATGTCTGATAAGAACATATGTGATGGATAAGTGGGCACCACTGTTATGTCTGCCTACGAAATGTAAGTTTGCCCTGGCACCTCATACCATTTGACACCACCTCCCCTTCCAGCCCTACCGCCTACAGTATGCACACTACTGCTCTCTCTATGGACGAATGGGTACCATCTCATCCATAAAGAGTAGCACAAAGGGGATACAGAAGGGACTGGTCCATTCTGCTCGCCATCCCCCATGTGCTCTTCCTCAACCCTCTGCAGTTTATACCCATTCAATGGAAATGTTGCTCCTGGCTTCGTCTCTGATAGATGCCACTGTCTCTGTGCAGCCTTCTCTGATGTTTTATCGCTGCTCTTTCCTGTCTGCATGCGCAGGACTCTTAACCGCCTGTGGTACAGGACTGGTAGTGCTGTGCACAGAAGGCCTCCTGGAGGGGCTTGTCAGTGGTGGGTGAGAACACTGACTCATAGCCTGTCCCTCCACACTCCCTTAAACACAGCAGCCCTTGAGAACTTAAAAACTCTTAATTCTAATAGCCAACGGTTCTAAATAAAAGAATGTGAAATAAGGCAAATGGAGCACAGTAGCCTCAGAAGTCATACACAGATGTCCACGGGGTTTGGGGCAGGGTGGATATCCACCATTTTAGTTGTCAGACCTGCTCGGGTATTTGGTTTGAGGTTACCGCTTCTGCCTGGGACTGGCTTGGCCTGTGGTGCTTTCCCATTGGTTTCTCCATGGCCCTCTTCTGAAGGTGCTGGTCAGAATTTACATGCACCTGTTTGGGTGTGTGTTATCTGGGACTGGTAAAGTGTTTTGACACATCTAAACTCTCTTCTGTCCTCTGTAGGTATTTGATGTGCAGAGGAAAATCACCTATAAGAACCTGGGCACCTGGTATGCAGAACTTCGGGAGTTCAGGCCGGAGATCCCATGCATCCTGGTGGCCAATAAAATTGATGGTGGGCTCACCCCTGTACCTGGGTGATAGCAGCTCCTAGGGACCCAGCCCCACACATTTCCTTCTTTAAAAGAATGAGTAGCCTTCATTTTTTCCTTCCCAAGATAAGACACAGATCCCTATTTCTAGGCCAGTCCATATCTGTCCCTTCCCAACTTCCTAGCACAGAGCCGCCCAACTCTCCCTCCAAACTCTTCCCTTTGCCTGGGTTGACAGGACAGTGCCCTACTTCTCTCTGCAGCAGACATACAGATGACTCAAAAGAACTTCAGTTTTGCCAAGAAGTTCTCCCTGCCCCTGTACTTTGTCTCCGCTGCCGACGGTACCAATGTGGTGAAGGTAATGGCAGACCATAGGCAGTCCACCCTGTGGCTTATGGGCTCTGCAGTCCCAGGGAGGAGAAAAGGGAAAGGAGGGAAACAAGGACAATGCGTAGCTGGGTGCAGCAGAGAAAGGGGTTAAGAGGCCCACATTTGGTGAGACAAAGTCCACTGTGTGGGACCAGGGTGATGGGCAGGAACATGAAAAGTGAGTTTGCAGGTTATGAAGGTGGAGTCCAGGGACCTGCCCACTGCTAGACTCCTGCCATTTCTGCCTCTTCTTCAGCTCTTCAATGATGCGATTCGATTAGCTGTGGCCTACAAAGAAAGTTCCCAGGACTTCATGGATGAGGTTTTACAGGAGCTTGAGGTAAGTCAGGCCCCATGTATAGCCAGGTACAATAGAAAAAGTAGGTGACTTCTTCAGAGATGTGAAATATAACCCAACATATGAGGTTTTGCCTGCCTTTGCAACCCCTAACTGCCTCAGAAGTATACTTGGACAAATGCAGGGTCAGGCCTCACCTATGGCCTTGTTCACAGAACTTCAAGTTGGAGGATACACCAGAACTTCAAGAGGAGGATACACCAGACCAAGAGCAGAGTGGCATGACCAAGAGCCCACCTCCTTAATCAGGGCATCCACACATGGCTGAGTTGGGGTATTGGGAGCCGTTTGGAATACCCTACATCTCTGGGGAAGCTCTGCAGGCTACCCCTGCTCAACTTCCTGAAAACACTGTTCTGTGGTACATGATGAGGTCATCACAAACACTAGACAGGCGTGCTCTCCCAGCAGCTTCCTGCAGCAGGATGAGGGATCCGTGTTTCTCACATGTGCCCACTCCACCAGCAGCCTGACAGTGCAGGGACAGTGAACATGCTCATATGTCTTCTCAGTAGACATTTGGGTGTTGTCTTTCATCCCAAACTGACCTCAGGGACTGTCCTTTGCACTTCTGCTGATAGAATGATGGCTAGCCCCTTACTACTCTGTTCCTGTCTCCCAACCAACTTTTACAACAACATTTTGACAGACAACTGTTCGTTACAGATTTTTTTTTTTTTAAGCACTATTTCAGGAGCTCTTCTAGGTTGGGTAGAAAGCACAGGAGCAGGACTCTATTGCAGTCAAGTGAAGACATAAGTCTAGCCATATCTGTCCATACACATTACTGTTCCCCACCACATGAACATGAGTTTCTTTTAAAGCCTCCATCTCAGGGTAGAAAGCTTCCCTCCACTTCTCAAGAGGAGTTAAACACTGCGTCTTCTGTGAGTGGCAGAACACGGCAGAGAAGAGCTGCCCTCCTTTCTGCAGCTTGCTTTTATGATTGTCTTGAGCATCATTCACATTGTCTCCATTATTTTGTTAGTACTGTTTCCTTTTTTTACAATAAAGATTAAGTTTCATAAACACTAAGTGTCTTAGTTACTTTTCTATTGCTGTAACAAAACACCATGACCCACGCAACTTACAGAAGAAAGCATCTAATACACAGTTCCAGAGCGTAAGTCCAGGACCATCACGCTGAGGAGCATGGCAGAAAGGCATGGAGCCAGCACAGGAGCTGAGAGTTCATACTTGATCCACAAGCGCAAGGCAGAGAGAACTGATGGGAATGGTGAATGGCATGATCTTGAAGCCTCAAAGCCTATCCCCAGTGACTCCCCTCCTCCAGCCAGGCTGCACCTTCTAATCCTTACCACTTCCACCAATTCAGGCATTCAAATGTACTAATGGGAGCCATTCTCATTAAAACCACCACACAGACTGTGTGAACTTTGTGGTCTGAAGAACACAAAAACATCAACCACATTGATGAAGGAAGACTGCCTTGATCTGCTCCATGCTGTTGTCTGAGTTAACTTGATTGACTACAGGAGACCATTTCAGTGGAATTTTTAGTTTGTGAGTTTTTAAACTATTGAGGTCTGAGGAACAAGCATGTTTCCCCTTTAAGTGATACTCAAATGTTCAGTGTTAACTTCTGAGCAGGGATTTTCAAGAATGAAAATGGTCTACAGAGTGAGTTCCAGGCTATCCAGAGCTACAAAGTGAGACTCTTCCTAAAAAGAATAAAATGCTCATTATTCTAGGTGATTAACAAGCTGGCAATGTATGTGTGTATAAATGTGTGTTGCACTTTTGGGCATTGAACCCAGGACCTCATGAGTTAGCTAAGGGCACTTCCCTACCACTAAACTACATTCCAGCCTTGTATTTCTCTTTATGTAAATAGCTTTATTGATACAGACTTCATGTACTAAAAAAATGTACCAATATTGGTTTTCACATAATTGTTTACATTAGGTTTCCTTGAAGGAGAGCCTAAGAAGACCATCTTAGATGGCCTACTGGGGCTGTTTTCTCCAGTGAATGAGGGGAGCAGAGAGTGAGGTGCAGCAGGAGGCCAACCTGACTGCCACCTCCAATCCCAGCGAAACTCTCAAGGACAAACTGCCCCAGATTCGGTCCTGCCTGAACACCAGAGGATTGTCAGCAAGTGCCTGAGGCACAGGAGACAGCTTGTATCATCCAGGGCAAAGTGGTTCCTACTTTAGCTCAGACACTTCTCTGGGGAAAGGGAAACCGCTTTTTATCCATCAGCACTGTAACTGGGTAAGGGGGCCTTTAAGATACCTACTGCACAATAGCTCTCATTAAACCACATCTTTTATAAGTTTTAGGGGCTCCACTGTTATGCTTTATGATTTAACTAGTTTTCGAAGGGACCAGATTAAGTAGACTAAGTAAGGATGTGACGTCTGAGATGAAATTCACACGACTAACACTTCAGTGCATTTCATACAGTCACAGTGTAGTATCACTGCTAATCCTGTGCAGCTCTCCCACCCCAAAGTCTGTGTTCTCTCTCCGTGGATTTATTAATTCTGGAGAGTTCATAGAAGTAAAACATACAATGTGTGGCTTTTTGTGTCTAACTTCTTCCACTTTCAAGATTCATCCAGAGTGGGGCATAGTGGGGCCTTTAATCCCAGCACCCAGGCAGAGGCCAGCCTGGAGTACATAGTGATTCCCAGGACAGCCAGGGCTATATAAGAGACCCTGGGGGAGCGGGGAGGATTCAACCATGCATCATGGCATCATGTACATTGTTTCCTTTACAGATGGACCTTGTTCCATCATGTTTATATTCAACAGTTTGTTTATTCCCTCACCAGTAACTCCAGCTGTTTGCAACTTTTGTCTCTTAAGGGTTCCATGGAGCCTGGCTGGTGTGGTGGCAGGCACCTTTAATCCTAGCAGAGTCAGAGGCAAGCCAATCACTGTGAATGGTCAAGGCCATACTGGTCCACACAGTGAGTTCCAGGATAGCTTTGGCTACACAATGAGTCCCTGTCTCAAAACTTTAACAACAAAAAAAAAAAAAAAAAAAAAAATCCAAATTTTACCACAAGTAGATCAGTATAATCTTAGGAATTTTAATAAACTATTATCATAAAACATCTCCCTCAAGTCCCATTTTTCACAGATCTTATACAATTTATTCAGATCTTCTGTGATTCGGCTTTAAACTGGAAGGGTCTTGTCCTTTCTGTGGTTTGAAAGCAAATGTCCTCCATAAGCTTATATATTTGAAAGCCTGGTTCCCCATTTGGTGGAACTATTTGGGAAGGGTTAGGAGGTGTGGCCTTGTTGGAGAAGGTGTGTCCCTGGAGGTGGGTTTTGAGGTTTCAAAGCCCATTTCCCCCTCTCTCTGTGGGCCTCCTGCTTGCCACAAAGCTCTCAGTTAACTGGCCCAACACCATGCCTGCCACCTGCCGCCTGCTCCCCGTCATGGTGGTCATGAACTCACTGTCTTAGTTGCTCTTACTATGATGAAACACCATGACCAAAGGAATTGAGAAGTAAAGGGGTTTTGTTGTTGTTGTTGTTTTTTGTTTTTGTTTGTTTGTTTGTTTGTTTTTTGGCTTATGCTTGCATATCACTGTTCATTATTGTAGGAAGTCAGGACAGGAACTCAAGCAGGGCAGGACCCTAGAGGCAGGAGCTGTTGCAGAGGTCATGGAAAGGTATTGCTTACTGGACTGCTCCTTATGACTTGCTTGATGCTTTCTTGTAGGACTCAAGACCAGCAGCCCAGGGATGGCCCCACCCACAATGGGCTAGGCCCTCCCCCATCAATCCTTAATTAAGAAAATGCCTGGATCTTATGGAGGCATTTTCTCAATTGAGGTTTCCTCCTTTTAGAACCTTTAGTTTCTTTAGTTCCCTCCTTTAGCTTTGTCAAGTTGACATAAAACTAGCCAGTACACTCTCTAAATCTAAGTCCCCCAAAAAAAAGTTTTTCTTCTATGTGTTGCCTTGGTCATGGTCTCTTCACAGCAATAAAACAGTAACTAAGGCAGTCCTCATCTTTTATTTTTCATTCTTAGGACAAAGAATGTTTTCTTACATGAAATCAATCCTTATTAAAATATTTTCTTTTTACCCCTTTTACCCAAAATATGAGTACATGCTAACATCCTTCTCAATAATTCTCTCATACACATTTACTATTTCTTTCCCTAAATACGAGTCAAATCCAAATTACATACATGGCACATTATAGCAAATTAAGATTACCTATCCACATACTTTTTTTGGGTTGGTTGGTTGGTTCTGGGTTTTGAGACAAGGTTTCTCTGTATAGCCTTGGCCGTCCTGGACTTGTTTTATAGACCAGGTTGGCCTCAACCTCACAGAGCTCTGCCTGCCTCTGCCTCCCCGAGTGCTGGGATTACAGGCGTGCATCATCACACCCGGCACACCCTTTTAATTACCAAGCTTTCTTCCTGTGTTTAGAAAAATATATACATTTTATCAAGAGTGTTGGCACATTATCAAGATAATCCTGAATGCAAGGGAACACTCCCTGAAAACAAAAAAAAAGACAGAAAAGAAAGCACACTCCACATTAACCCTGGAATTACAGTCTGAGATGACAAAGGTATTTTATTAATGTCTTTTAATCCTCTGCAAAATTCATGCAGAATATTATTTCTTGTTTTCTTTTTAAGACTTGCCTTTCTAGAAACACTGTAGATCATACTTTTTTTTTTCCTTATTGTATATTAAAGGTTTTATTCGTAGTCTAGGATTGGTGCTGATTTTTCCAACTCCTTTATGGCCAAGTTTCAAAGATCCCTCACGTGGCCTTGATGAACCTCCTTGTTATTATTCCATGTAGGTTGTTGGTTGGGGTTTTTTAATCTCCTGTCATTACACTCTACCAAGCCATGGTGTCCTTTCTTTTTATTGTTAATTTTGGTTTTTATTTTTGGGGTTTTTTTAAGATTTATGTGTATGATTATTTTGTCTACATGTATGTCTCTACCATGTGGGCTTGGTACCTTCAGAATCAGAAGAGGACATCAGTGGCTCTGGAACTAAAATTCAAAGTGGTTTTGAAACACCATGTGAGTGCCAGGGACCAAATCCAGGTCATCTGCAAGAGCAACAATGCTTTTAACTGCTGAGCTATTTCTCCAGCCCCAAAGAGGTTGTGACTTCCACTTAAGTAGGAACCTTGTCTTTTTTTTTTTTTTTTTTTACTATATTACGTGTGAGCATTTTGCCTACGTCTATGTATGTGGTGACCGCCCTCCTTACCATCCCCTTTGTCCACCAGCTAAGGTACTGAGGCCCAAGGTATTGAGCCAATAGACAAGACATCACACCATCCAAGATGTTAGTTCCCTTTATAAATTTCATACCTCTGACCTGGGAAGGGGATGTTGACTCTCTCCTTTTCCCACCCAGGAGAATACCCTTGAAGGGGACCATCAATTAAGGGGATTTCTTTATTAAGAGAGGGAGATTATGGATATCCTCCTGTCATTATTTTTTTCAAGGTTCATTCTTAATCTAGAGATTGAGCTAAAATCTGGAACTGAAGCTGGCAGTTCAGAACTTCGGGGTTCCCACACAGAGGAAAAGAGGTGATGGAGCAGAATCCCAGTTAGAAGGTAGACTCTCTTCTCTGGTTTGCTTTGTTGTTCTTGTTTCAGAGAAAACAGGGTCCCAGGTCCCTCTCTCCAGCAAATATCTTTTTTTCTGGTTTTTTAATTTAATTTTTATTTTTTTAATTACATTTTATTCACTTTGTATCCTAGCTTGTAGCCCCTCCTCCATTCCCTCTTAATCCTACCTTCCCTCCCTCTTCTTCTCTTATGCCCCAACCGCAGTCCAATGATAGGGTAGGTCCTCCTCTTCTTCCATATGACCTTAGTCTATGAGGTCTCATCAGGGCTGGCTTCTTTGTCTTCCTCTGTGGACTGATAAGGCTGCTCCTCTGTCTCGGGAGAGCCAGCCCATGAGTTCATGTCAAAGACACTCCCTGTTCCTATTATTGGAGAACTCTTCTGGACACTGAGATGCCATGGGCTACTTCTGTGTAGGGGTTCTAAGTTATCTCCATGCATGGTCCTTGTTTGGAATACCAGTCTCAGAAAAGGCCGCTGTGCCCAGATTTTTTGGTTCTGTTGCTCTACTTGTGGAGCTCCTGTTCCCTCCAGATCTTGCTATCTCCCCCTTCTTTCATAAGATTCCCTGAACTCTGCAAAAGGTTTGGCTATGAATCTCAGCATATATTTTGATACCCTGATGGCTTGAGTCTTTCAGAGGCCCTCTGTGATAGGCTCCTGTCCTGTTCCCTGTTTTCTCCCTCTTCTGATGTCCATCTCGTTTGCCTTTCTGAAGATTGGGCTTCTTACCAGGGTCCTCCTTCTTGATTAGTTTCCTTAGGTGTACAGGTTTTAGTATGATTATCCTATATCATATGTCTAATATCCACCTATAAGTGAGTATATACCAGGTATATCTTTCTGCTTCTGGGATACCTCACTCAGGATGATCATTTCTAGATCCCACTATTTGCCTGCAAATTTCATGATTTCCTTGTTTTTAATTGCTGAGTCATATTCCATTGTGTAAATGTACCACAATTTCTGTATCCATTCCTCAACTGAGGGGCATCTGGGTTGTTTCCAGCTTCTGGCTATTACAAATAAAGCTGCTATGAACATGGTTGAGCAAATGTCCTTGATGTATACTTGAGCATCTTTTGGATCTATGCCTAGGAGTGGTATAGCTGGATCTTGAGGTAGCACTATTCCTAATTGTCTGAGAAAGCGCCAGATTGATTTCCAAAGTGGTTGTACAAGTTTACATTCCCACCAGCAACGGAGGAGAGTTCCTCTTTCTCCACATCCTCTCTAGCATGTGTTGTCACTTGAGTGTTTGATCTTAGCCATTCTGATAGGTATAAGGTGAAATCTCAGGATTGTTTTAATTTGCATTTCCCTAATGACTAAGGATGTTGAGCATTTCTTTAAGTGTTTCTCTGCCATTCAATGTTCCTCTATTGAGAATGTGTTTGGCTCTGTACCCCATTTTTTAATCCAGCAAGGGTCTTAATTATCTCCACACTCTTCACCATTAATATATTCTATAAGTTCACATACCCAGGAAGTTGCATGTTGTCAACCTGACACAAACCTATGCATGTCTGAAAAGAGGGAATCTTGGTAAAGGCTAATCTTGCCTTTATAAGATTGGCCTGTAGCAAGCCTATATGCTATTGTTTTAATGACTGATGTGTAAGGACCCAGCTAACTGTGGGTGATGGCATCCCTAGGTGGTCCTAGCTGGTCTAAGAGAGCAGGCTTTCAGTCATGGTGTTTTATCACAGCAATAGGAGCCCTAAATCACCCAGTCTTAATGCATTGTTTCTTGACCTCCCCCCGTGTCCCCCCCAATACTGCAGCATGTGCCTTAGGAGACCCTTTGTTCTTACGGGTCTAAGGCCTGTCCTTCTGCTTACCCAAAGAGGGAGCCTGGGTTTCCAATCCGTATCTTGTAACTGTGATGTCTTGATCAGAGATGCTCGGCCTCCTCTCTTTTCCTACAGTGAAGACAACTGAAAAGCAGCAGAGGCCCTTCTTGATGTCCTGCGGTTTGTGCGGAACTGCTTATGCCGTTGGAACTCTACCCAAACTGCTTTTTACCCTCACAGGAAAGTGGAACTGCAGATGGAGTTCACGCCTGCTTCTCATTGGATTAAACGTTTCAGTCACACTCACAAAACCCTCCAGGTGTCGAGCCCACCAAAGCAGTGTTAACACTTGCAAGTTTTGGCTTTCCTTTCTTTTCTTGGTTCAAAAGCTGTCTTCCCAGAACCTCGAAATTCATCCTAATGGACTAAATGGGGGACCATCAAAGAATCTTCACTCCTCCCTTCCCAAGTCCTCCCTAGAGTTACTCAAAGGAGTTGCACTGGAGGTTTCATGTGTTCCCCCTGGATGTTGTTTTCCACTTCCAAGTAGCCTGAGACTGACATTTCAGCCACATTCTCGCCCTGAAAAAAAAAATTTAAAAAAATGCCCAACCACATGTAAGTACTCTATAATCCAATATTCTTACCTTGGTTTGTGCACGGACGTTACCTAGTTGCCACCATGCTTGCTTAAGGACCTCCTCTCCACACTGCTGATTCATTTTCGAATCTGGGTTTCCATTAGTTCAGGAGCTTGAGAAGGCGTCCATATCCAGGACCATGGCAATGAGGCAGCAGGGTGCACCTCTCAAGACGGGAAGCAGTTCCTTTGGTCACAGAGAAAGAGCCTCTCATGTTGGGAGCCTCTTTAAGAAATAGGTCTGGGTCCCCAGAAAGTGGTCACAATCCAAAGTATGTCAGTAAGGCCAAAGTTTTCTTTCCACACGCAGGTGCACAGGCAGTCAGATCAAGCAGGCAAGCACGCCCAGCAGAAGGCCTGACACAAGCGGCCCTTGTGCCTCACTCTGAGTGGCCAGAGCCTTACACTCCTGCTAAGCCAAGCAGCACAGCTGAAAGCAAAGTATAACTTTTGAGACCGGGATATATCCTGGAGCACATTTTGATTTCAAGAAGTATGGCTTCTCTCTGCCCTACCATCCTTACTAACACAAATGATTAATTCAAACGCCAGACTTGATTTACTTTCTTGACCAGAATGAACAGCCGAACACGGCCATCAGGACTTAGCAAACAAAAGTGGTCTGGCTGAGGGCCGACCCCAGCCTCAGGCAGTGTGGGGCAAGCCTGACACTTAGACTGGGTGTCCAACAGCCACTCCGAGGAAACTTCAAACCATGTCCATGTCTCTTGTTGGGCTCACTTTCCTTGAGAACGCATCTGACCCTTTCCTATTGGTCCTGCATATCCTTATATCATTAGAAAGGTTCAGACTTTTTTTTCTGTTCCTTAAAATGGATATTCTTGTGTTTGTTTGTTTTTATTTTTCGAGACAGGGTTCTATGTAACACTGGCTGTCCTGGGCTCACTTTGTAGACCAGGCTGGCCTCAGACTCACAAAGATCTGCCTGCCTCTGCCTCCCAAGTACTGGGATTAAAGGTGTGCACCATCATGACCCGGTACAATGGATATTCTTAACCATCTTATGATGGTAAGAAAGCCATTCCAAAGTCAGGTCCATCTTTTAGATACTCCTTCTCCCACTGTTATTCCTGGACAGCTTTAGCAAATAAGTTCTTATGTGCCTGAATCCAGGAACTAAAGATTTGTCCACAGGCCGGAAATAACCCTGAACAGGTAATGTTCGATCATCCACACCTTACCTGGTGCCTTATCTGGTGGGAGGCACCTGTTTTTGCTGCCAAGCAGCCTTGTCTTGTCGTTATCCCTTGTGAGCCCAGCCTTTCACACAGAAGCATCTCGGTGGGCCAGTCTCACGGTAGCATTAAGAGAACATGGCCTCCTAGCAGCAGTCGCTCCTTTTCCGCTCAGATCAGCCAGTGGAGCTCTTTCACCCCACCCTCTAGTTCCATATATAGAGGCATCTAACACTTGCCAGTATCAATAAAGTACAAAGGAAGGACCATGGTTGGCCTATGGCCCTAGTTTGCTTTATTCAAGCATTAAAATTCAATGTTTAAAAAACCAATATGAATGTATGAGCAATTCCACTTTATTGGAGGGTGCAGGAGGGAGGGGACAGATTTGACAGAGGAGGATTTGGGTTGAACTGGAGAAAACAGAAGTCCGGAAAGCATGTCCTCATGTATATATATTTATATACAAATATATGCTTTATTTCATTTCTCTTTTCTCAGGAATGTAGGGGGGGCTCCCTGGGTTTGTTAGAAAAGACCCATAATTGGAGTAGTAGCGGGGGTTGTTCAATGGTCCACTGAAACGTGAGGAATTGTATATAGGATAAGTCCTCACCTTCAGGGCATCTATAAGACGCTGTACACGCTGAGCAAAAGAAAGTTTCCTGTGGTGTTTCGTGTGATTCGTAGTAAAAGTAAAGGGTGCAGGCTGGCCGACAGTTGTGAGTGGAGCTAGGGGTGCTTTTGATGGTGAGACTTGGGCCGAAGACGGTCGATGGTACAGAGGCCGAGACGGTCGTGGCCGAGATGGCCGGGATGGCCGAAATGGTTGAGGAGGCATGTTTTGTTGGTATTGCCAAGGAGGGCGAAAAGAAGCCGGTGTTTGGGAAGTAGGCTGGGGAGGAGTGGCTGGTTGAATCATGTGCAAGGCATTAGAGCCAATCTTGGAAGCAATCCAGTCCAGGTAGTCCCAGGTGGCTGTGTAGATTCCAGGATGCTTAGCACGGGCACAGCCAACCCCCCAGCTCGTGATCCCCACGACCACAAAGGGGCTGTTGACGTTGTCTCTGCACATGAGAGGCCCACCACTGTCCCCCTGTCCAGAAGGGCAGAGGGGTCACTTTCAGCCTGAGCCACTCTCCCTTCCCAGAAGGGTCATGGGGCTCTGGGAGAACAATGTCTGCAGCCACATAGTTTCCTACCGCCTTAGATACAACTGGAGAAGTTAAGAGCTGCCACTCTCCATTGGAATGCGGAGGGCAGGGGAAAGGTCCCGAGATGCCTTGCAGTAAGGTGAGTTCACATGTACATGCATGCAGCTCTACCTGCATGCATGAATGCTGTGGCTTTGGGTGCTTTGTGTTATGGGGAAGAGGAAAGCATGATCTTCGATGACTGGGTTTGGGCAATGTGTTCTGTGTGCTAATGTCGGTATCAAACGCTAAGTGTGCTGACATGTTCTCAGTAGGAACAGATGGTAGACATCACCCCATACTAGTTAACATGGATGTTAAAAAAACAGTTACCAGGGAAGGAGTCACTTAAGTGGGCCCTTGGCTAAGGAGAGGAGAGGATGGAGACTGGGGACTTAAAATGAGGTTTTCTCAGGGGCTAGGATCCCTAGAGGTACCCCAAGGATCTGAGTACCAGAAGGAAGTTACCTGGCAGGTGTCAATCTTGCCTTCAGGATACCCTGCACACACATTAGTTGATGTGACACGCCCACTGTACCACTGGGTTGAGTTACACAGGTCGAGGTCAATGAGATCCACACGTGCCTCCATCAGGACAGTTGATGGCCTGGGGGCTGCAGCCAGGCCACACAGTGGTCAGTGCTCAAGGAGGATATAAAGGAAGCCCTGCCTCCTCCCCCACCATGAACTTCCATCCATCCTATGTAGTGCTCTGGTTAAACAAAGATCCCTCAGGCTCACCTCACACTCCTGAGGGGAGGAAATGCACAGTGAAAGGACAGGTTGGAGTAGAAATAAGAGAATTGAATCTGGAGGAAGGAAGGAAGGAAGAAGGAAGGAACGAAGGAAGGAACAAAGGAAAGAAGGAAAGATGGTATCTGTATTAGTGATAGATAAGGAATTGTAGACATTAGCTGAAGCTCTAACAAGCCAAGTACTATGTCCATGGTCCTGCTACTCCCGTTTTGGATAAGGGGCTGGAGCACCACCCACCTAAGTCAAAAGTCTGGCCAGGATTGCCCCTCTCCACACCCATGACTGAGACACACCTTTCATCCTGCACTGTGTGTCTAGAAGTCACCCTCCCTGATTTTTATCCTCCATTAGGACTCCTCCACCCAGCTTCAGACACGATCCTCCCATGTGTCTCAGATTCTCAGATCTGCTTTGAGGAGATTTTTGGAACAGGAGAACTGAGTCAGGGCCTCATTCACTACCACAGACCCTATCGTGGGGGCTGAGGAGTGGTAGGAGAGACACAGTTATACTTCAGCTCATGCAGCCAGCATGCATCTGACTTAGACAGCACAGCGGGCTCTTCATCACATACAGCCAGCAGGATCTGTAGCAGCGGCAGCTCTGGCAGCCCCCTCCCACAGCAGCCTAGGGTTGGATGTCATGGGCAGCGATGGCCACATGAGTGTAGGTGGTAAGACAGGGAAAGCATGGAGCCCGTGAATGCAGGGCTAAACTCTCAGCAGGCAGGCAGCAGGCATCTGCATAGTACGTGTTTCCTGAGCTATGGGTATTTCAAAGATTTTTCTTTTTAAATAGAGGGTGTTTTATTCTGTTTTCTGTTTTCAATAGAACTTCCACCTCTCCTCACATCCAAGCATCAGTGAGGTATTCCTGAGGTGGGGTTGACACTAAAATAACAATAACAACAACCTTAACTTGCTAGCCATTGAGATAAATAAATAACTCTTTAGTTCTATGGCTGAAGCCATAGTCTTAAAAGTCATGAACCTCACTGTGCAAAAACAGGTGTTCTGAAACAGAATGTTCTCATTATCAGACAAGGTAAATAAGAGGCCTATAAGATCTCAAAACCCCAGCAAAAGGAACAGTACCTAGGTAGCTCCTTCAGCCCCAGAGCAGGTGAACTCAAAGGGGAGGTAGAACCAAGCATATATAAACAGGCCACACGAGTTTGGAGCCTAGGGATTTTTTAAAGACTGAAGCCTGGAGAGACAAAAATGAGAGACACCCCACTAATTTAAGAGGATTCTAGAAGCAGAGATCAGCAAGAACCACAGGCTGTGTATATGGTGAGAGGACAGATAAGAGAGGAGTGAATGATGCAGAGAGACAGGCACCAGCAGGTGGATGGGATGCGCACATGGCTGCCGTCACATGCCAGCAAGAGCAAGCGAAGACTAAAGGAGCTAGAATAAGACCCCCTCACCTAAAGGACAGGATTGGAAGTGAACCTTTTAAAACAGTGGCTTTCAGCTTTTGTACTGCTGTGACCTTTTAATACAGTTCCTCGTGTTGTAGTAACCCCCAAGTATAAAAGTATTTTCCTTGCTACTTCATAACTGTAATTTTGCTACTGTTTTGAATAGTAATGTAAATATTTGGGGAGATAGAGGTTTACCAAAAAGGTTGCAACCCACAGGTTGAGAACCACTGCTTTAAAGACTTTGGTCACCTCTAGAAAAAGAGAATAAGAGTAAGGGGACCAAGGATTTCTAATTTCAAAAACAAAAGACTGAGTTATAAGCCCCAAATTATTAGATTGCCTCAAATTAGGAAGCCTAAACTTTCCAAAATCAAAGAAGAAAGTGATGGCTCAGTTAATTCCAGTCAAATTTTCACATCCCTCATGTGACAATAAAAATTTGTACAACCACTTATAAGAAGCTGAAAGCACTGTTCTTGAGCAGGGAACAAGTTCTATTTGGTCTTGTCCTCTTGACAATGCCCTACTGCCAACTGTTGTAACTTAAGGCGTTGACCTTACTCCTGGTATCAACAGTGGGCCTTGTCTTTAAGGATGTAGGGAGGGTCATCTGGGACGCAGACTGTAACTGTAGAGTCATCAATGACTCTCGAACATTTCCAGTACCCCTGTCAGCCTGTCTACTCACATTCCTCTACTCACGTGGTTGCCATATGGGTCAGGTAGCATTGGCACACGAAAGGTCTGGGCCAGGGAAAAGGCACACAGTTTGAATAAGGACAGAGAGCTAAAAAAGGCAGCTAGACCCATCTTGAAGGGCAAGAGAGCTGCAGGATAATTCCAGCATGACCCAAAGGAAAGTAGAGCCACCACCTACGTCCCTCCCAGTCTACCTAGAGAACATCAAGTAATTTGGAAGGAAATGGAGAGTCTTGGTGCTATGACTGTCCAAGGAAGGAAAAATGCCTTAGACACCTGCTGATGGTGAATTAAGGCATCCCTGAGACCACAGAAGTTGGAGATGCTAAACTTTGGAGGCCAGGCCTTTTCTCTCTTTCAACACCAGGGCAACAAAGCCATATCCCCTGGTGACTTTTGCAAATACTGCTTCAGTTTAAGTTTCCAATGTCCAAAGTCTAGCAGCTGAGCCTCTAGCTGATACACACACACACAGAGCTTTGCTACAATCTAAAATATGTCAAGGTCGTCCTTGTACCTTCCAGTCACCCTTTCCATAGGTAGCTAGGCCATTGCCAGTCATGCCCTCCAACAACCCAGACACCATGACCTTGGGACCCAGCTTCTCTAACACCTGACATCTCCAGTCATGAAAGGGCCTGTGGTAGACTCTATTCATGATGCCATGAGGAGAACTGAAACCTCTCGGCCACACGTCATGACCCCTGCCATGAAAAGGCTGCAAAGAGAATGGGCACCAATGCCCATCAAAGAACCCTACCCATACTCACCCTTCTCTTTCATGTATCCCCACCCAGTCACGTAGCAGGTCTGGGGAACTTTGGGAGGACCAGCCTTAAACTGAGGTAGGCAGCAGGGCCCAATGTAGTTCCCACATGAAACCGGAGGAGTGATCTTCAAGAGAGCAATGTCATTCCCCTCTGTCACAATGTTGTATTTTTCATGAATGATGATTTTCTGCACATATCTCTCCTGCAGAGGCTCTCTCACTGGCTTGTTTCTTCCATATTCAATTTCCTGTGCTCCAAAAACCAGTCTCCAGTCATAGACTTTTCTGTGGGGACAAAGGGTAAACCAGTCGTTCTCATTTGCAGACTGGCTAGACAAAGGCGTGTGGGGACAGTGACTGACCCTCAGAGCCCTGTCAAGTCTAGCAACCACGCCGGCCCAGAGCTCCACGGAGACCCTGAGAATAGCCCTTGGGGGATGCCCCTTTCCATTTGGAGCACTCTAGACACCTCCCTCTCTGAGTCCCACACGTACTTTTTATTATCGAAGCAGTGAGCAGCTGTAAGCACCCAGTGGGCGTTCAGTAGGCTACCTCCACAGGCGTGGTACCTGCGCTTGTTATGGGACATGAAGATCTGTAGGCTGACCATCCAGGGCCAGGCCCCACGCTGCGCAGTCTGCCCTCCGACAATCCGGAAACCTGCTTGTGGGTTCAGCCTGAATCGTAACCCACAGGGGCCACTGAGGAGAGACCAGGACACTGCTCAAACCAAGAAGAGGCACCCAGTCTTTGTACCTCCACACCTGGGGGGAGGCAGGGACACAGGGTTGGGAAGAATGGGAAGGAATTTTGGGGAAAGAGAGGCAGCCTAGGGTCTGCAGGACGCCACAGTCTCCAGGAACTATCCACTTGGGCCCTAGAGGTATTAAGGGGTCCCTGAACATCGCGATAGTCAAAAGCACTATGATGGCAGAGGGGTGGAATGGTTCTCAGGACCAGTCTTGGGTAGGAGTCTCCAGCCAGTGTCACGTGATTAAGGAGACGGCGGGGTTGTAGCGCTGGGTTGGGAGAAAGCAACTGCAAGCAGCTACAAGTTAATGCAGTGGCTCATAAGCACTGGGGTGACACTAGATGCAGAAGGGGTCCTGGGTTGCAAGTCCTAGAAACCATGTCACAGGGGAAAGGCTACCAAGAGTTTTGGAGCTCTTTGCATTGTGGGTCCCTTAGGAAGAAGAGTCTTCAGGTAGGTAGAGGTGCAAAGGCAAGTGATGCCTTTGGACTCATGCACAGGTGAATGAGCTTAGTTGTCCACAGGAGACCAGGGGCTCCTAAAGTTTGGGACCCATACCTGAGGGGCAATGAAGCCAGTCACTGGAGAAGCAGGAAGAGATCTATGAATGATCTCTCTCTCTCTCTCTCTCTCTCTCTCTCTCTCTCTCCCTCATTCTCTCTCAGAAACCATAGGCAGCTGGAAACCTAATGACTCCAAGATTACGGTTCTGGAAGCAGGGAAGGTCTGAGTTGGGATGCAGGTCACAGGAACTGAAACTATCGCCTGCTTACTGCTCATCTTAGCCCTGGACAAAGGGAGTGTAGGTAGGACCTCTTATTCCTAAGGACCCTTACCCCCACCAAGGTGCCCCCGACACTTACTCACACGTGGAGTTATCTCTGGCAACCACGGACACTGCCAAGACCAGCACAACGACAGTTGGCAGCATCTCTACCATACTCCTGCCCTAACCTGGCCTGCAAGCTGTGACCTCACAAAGCTCCGTGGTCTTCTGGCCAATCAGCAGGGTGATCTCCCACCCCCACCCCAGCAGGCCAGGCAGTCCTCCTTGATTAACTGATTCATGCTGAAGTGACACTCCAACTTCCTCTGTAAACTCTCCTGACCTTGGGATGGTGAGGAACTCGTGTGCAACCCATTGCCTCTGTCCTAAGACTTATATTCATCCTTGGTGAAGCTTCTGGAGTTTCACTTTATCAATGTTTGGGATACGCTCTTTGGTAGCTGAACCACACCACACTCACGGACTGAAGAGCAACTTGGCCCTCTTGTAATGAGGTAGTATAGAATATGTTCACAGGTTCCACAGGACGACAGAGCCTCAGAAAGTGGTGGGGTGGGAGAAGTGTCTGTCAACAGAACACTTACAAAGAGCCATTTTGAAGTTTCTTGACTTAAGACTTCAAGGCCCACCTTCTTGTCCATTGCTGAGGATCACAGTGATTCCTGGAGGTCTCCAGGCCTCACCAAGTACAGCCACATAGAATCGTCTATACTTGAGCAGTGGGGATCTTCATCACAGCTACCTGCATGGCACCAAGCGTATATATATATATATATATATATATATATATATATATATATATATATATATGATCTCGATTTCTCTGCGTATCTTTAGCTGCGTGTCTTACATTATTATATAACTTTCAAGAAGTCACATCTCCCTAGGCTGGCCAACAAGGTCTTGAGTTGCTTACCTGAAAGCTCAGACTTCCTCTCCACATATGTGAGAACAACTGTTCTTTTCCACATTGGGGATGGAGGTCTCATTTCTTCCATCTGAATGGTACCTTGCCACACGTTCTCTCCCAGAATCAAGAGATCTTATATCCTCTACCTGAAGATTGTACCTTAACTATTTGAATGTTCTGTCTCAACTCCCAAATGAAGCACCAAAAGTATTATTCAGTTCTCCTAAAAGAAGTCTGCTCTGACTTCCATCTCATCTCCTTAACCTAAATATCATATGTGTTTCCCTCCTTTCCAAGAATATCTCAAAGTCTTCTCTACTCTGAATTTTCAAGGTTCCCATCTCAACTTCCTTGCTGCCTGTCTCAAGATGTATCCCCACTGCCTAAGGGTCACAAAACTCCATTTCTTCTATTTGACTCCATCAGAGTCTCACAGGACATGAGGACATCCGGGTCTATCTGACAATCAGGACTCATTCCTTCGGTCATGCATCTGGAGCAGCATTTCTCAACCCGTGGGTCGTGACCTCACGGGGGGTCACATATCAGATAATCTGCATATCTGATATTTGCATTATGATTCATAACATTAGCAAAATTACAGTCATGAAGTAGCAACAAAATAGTTTTCTGGTTGGGGGTCAACACAATATGAGGAACTGTATTAAAGGGTGGGAGCATTAGGAAAGCTAAGAACCACTGCTCTAGAGGTTTTCTCTTTTCTCTGACAGTGACCAGGAAGTCTCATTCTCCCTCGTGGGCGCTAAGCATATCTCCTCCTCTAGAACACTCCTGAGCCTTATCTCTCCTACCTCAGCACCAAGCATTCTCGTTCTTTTGCTGAACAATCAAAACACAGAACATTCTTCCTTGTTCTGAGTACAAGTCTCTACTTGCAGCCTTAATTTTTTTTTAAATCATTCTTTTTGTTTAAATTTTCTCATTTTATTTTTACTTCAGTATGACCGTTTGCTGTATGGATGCCCTGATGCCAGAAGAGGGTGCTGAATCCACTAGAGCTGCAGTTGCAGGCAGTTAGGAACATGGGAACTGGGAATTGAACTCAGATCCTCTGGAAGAGCTGCAAGGATTCTTAACGTCTGCCCCATCTCGCCATCCCAGCCCTGATGTTTGAGAGCCATGCTGTGTCCCAGTGCCTACTCCTCCTCCAGATTAGATGTCCTGGACCAACACATCAAGGCAGCTCAACTTTCTTTACCAGAAATTGGTAAAACTTTATTTTCACTATCCCAGAGGCAAAATGATTTACTTCTGTTTGTTTTTGGATTTTTGAGACAGGGTTTCTCTGTGTAGCCTTTGCTGTCCTGGAACTCACAGAGACCAACCTGCCTCTGCCTCCCCAAGTGCTAGGACTACAGGTGTGTGCCACCACACCTGGTGATGATTTAACTCTTATTTTGGCATGGAATCTTGTTTTCTGCCTGTATTTTACTAAGAGGTCTTACTTCTCCTAAGTAAAAGTAAGAGCTCAATTTCTATAGCAAGTCAGTAGGAAATGACCTGAATGCAAACATGGGCTCTCGCCTCGACTCTCTGCCCTGTGTCATATAACCTCTAAACTGGAATAAGAACAGTGTGTCCTGTGGGAAAGATCAGGGGCAGAAGTCAAAGGACCTCGGTTCTGACATGTCCTCTTCAGCCACAGGAATGAGTACGTTTTCTCCGTCGGAGTAAAATGCACCTGACCCCACCCAACAGCTAAGGAGACCTAGAAGGCATTAAAAAAACACATAACAGACTATAACTTAGGAGAGCTAGCATGAAGAATGGATAAATAGTCTCTGGCCATGAGCAGCATCTCTTCTAACATTCCACCTTCATTTGTAGAAATACTGAATGTTCCTTTTCTTTTTTTTATTTTTTTAAGATTTATTTATTTATTATGTATACAATGTTCTTTCTGCACATATACCTGCCCACCAGGAGAGGGCACCAGATCTCATTAAACATGCTTGTGGTTACTGGAAATTGAACTCAGGACCTGTGGAGGAGCAGTCAGTGCTCTTATCCACTAAACCATCTCTCCAACCCCAGAAAGTGAGCCATCTCTCTCTGAGCCATCTCTCTCTGAGCCATCTCTCCAGCCCTGAATGTTCATTTTCATATCTACTTCTTCAATGAAAAATCTAAGCCAATGCCCAGACTTCAAACAGCTAATGCCTCAAATTCTTTCACATGACTCTGTTTTAATTTTCTTCTACTTTTAAAGAACTAAAATCTATGCTATTTAAAAAAAAAAAAAAGTTGTTTGTGACTTAAATATCCACATGCTAGTAGAGCCTCATGCTGGTGACTTGTAGTTCCAGTTACTCAGGAGACTGGGGCAGAGGAGAACCACAGGTTCAAATCCTGCCTGAGCTACAGAATGAGTTCAAGACCAGAAAGGGCAGGAACAGGGTGAACAACTACCTAAGGAGATTTTTATCTCCGCTGCCTGCATGTTGTGAGGCGACCCCTCCTCCACCTGAAAGTACAGGAGTACTTAAGTCGATTTCAGGACTCGGTACTTTTAACCATCATCAGGAGCTTTTATCTCAATCATAAAGAGCGTTTTCTTCTCTATATAAGGAGACTTCTTTCCTGCCTCAGAGTGGAAGGTCCCTCTTTCCCAACCTTTTATGTTAGTAAGTCTTGACGTCTCCAGATGAAGGCTAGATAGTTCACCAACCTGAGACTTAATACAGCTCAGCTTAACCACTGAGCATCAGCATGCCTCCATGACTGTAAACGGATGCCACGTTGTACCTGACAAGCAACCCCAAAGGCTTGGGAAACAGTCAAGAAATTGGGACCGGCAAGATGGATCAGCATGGAAAGGTACCTACCCCCGAGCCTGATGATCTGAGTTCACAGGACCCACATAATGGCAGGAGAGAACCGACTCCCACAAATTGTCTTCTGACCTCCCTGTGCACAACATGGCACACAAGCTCACACACATACACACACATTAAATAAAAATGCAATATGTTTTTAAAAAACAAGAAATGGTTGCCAAGGGTGGGGGTGGGGTGGCACCTTAATCCCAGCATTCAGGAGGGAGATCTCTGGGAGTTTGAGGTCAGCCTGGTCTACAGAGTGAGTTCCAGGGCAGCCAGGGATACACTGGGAAACCCTGTCTCAAAATAACAAAAACAAACAAAATACCCAAGAAGTGGCAAAATGAATTCAAAAAGTGGGACCTTAAAGTTTTGAACGTTAAGGCTATGGATATAGCTCAGTTACAGAGCACTTGCCTGAAATGCTCACAGCCTTGGGTTATATATCTCCAAAACTGCAACATTAATAATTACAATAACAAAGAATGAACATCCTCCCGGTGTGGTGGCTCACACCTTTAGTCCCAGCACTTGGGAGGCAGAGGCAGGTGGATCTCTGAGTTTGAGGCCGGCCTGGTCTACAGAGTGAGCTCCAGGACAACCGGGGATACATAGAGAAACTCTATCTTGAAAAGAATAAAAACAAAAAAGAATGAACCTTATTAATATAGCAGACAGCACATCAGTCTAATAATAATAATAAACATTTTACAGAAAAAAAAAGACTACTGAGGCAGTTTTAAAGAATTTTAATGGGCATAAAGTTACAAATTTAACAAGCACTTAGAAACTGCTTTTACTTAACACAAAACAAAACACCGACTCTGCCAGGTGGTGGCAGGGCACACCTTTAATCCCAGCGCTCGGGGAAGCAGAGGCAAGTGGATCTCTGTGCGTTCGAAACCAGCCTGGATCAGCATGGTCTACAACTTGAGTCCAGGACAGCCAGGGATATTACACAGAGAAACCCTATCTCAGGGGTTGTGGGGTGCGAGGGGGGAAGGGGAAGTACTGACTCCTCTCTTGGGCCCACAAAGTAGCTAAAAGCAAAATAGAGGCCTAGCGTCTTCGCTTTCATTTTCTGTCTACTCACTTTGGGTCAGACACCTGCCTAACTCTGCCCATAGGGATATCAATCAGTGTCCGAAGACCCCTGCTATCTACCTATCTCAGCCTTTGAGACTGGAGACACAAATATTCACTGAGACTATCATTCGCTTGTGTGTGTGTGTGTGTGTGTGTGCGCGCGCGCACACAATTATGGGCGTGAGTACTCAAATGCCCCAGTGCATGTGTGAATATCAGAGGACACTCTTGGGCAGCAATCCTTGCCTTCTATCTTGTCTACGAGTCTTTTTGTTGTTCACCACTGTGTGTGCTAGAGAGATGGCTGGCCAGCAGGC